TGACTCGTGTTTCGCCAGTTAAATGCTTTTAATGTGAAGCTGAAGCAGTAGGAAATGTTGAGTTTTCGTTAGCAGTAACTTAATACTGGATTTTTGCCAGGAATTTCCCCAGTACCTTGCAGCAACAGAGTGTGCACAAGTGACAGCTCTCCAAAAGTGAAACCATTACATCTTGATCACCCATGGTGGCTGGCTGTTAGTTTACACTTGCTTTGATATGCAGCAGCACTTTCTCTCAGCCGAGCAAACAACGTCAGTAATCATGCACCGCAACGTTTATTTAATTGTGGTAAGCCAAAACTGTGATCACCATTAATATTCGATCAATTGCGCAGTTGAGTTGTAATACTACTTTTCTATAAGTAAAGGATCGGAATACGCCTTCCAACCTCGGCATGTCAGAACACCTTTTCAGCAAAAGCAGCAATTTCATCACATTTACTGTCTGTATGGGTAGCTACATTGTGGACACCGTATGTTTAGATATCAAAGCAGGGTGTATTTTGGCTCATTTTGGACATTTCATTCAGACTCCATTTTATGGTGATATTAAATTAAGTATCTTAGATGGAGGAGGATGGAGTCATGGAGATTACTGAAAGATGTCATTTTCTACCTTGTATGGGCAGATTTAGACTTATTTTAAAAGTAGAGCTTTTGATACATAGATAACATAAAATGCATTATACTGGTACTGTATACTAATTGAAATGTCTGTGTAAAACTATGACAAGAAGTAGTTTACACACTGTTTTAAAACATGAAAAAGGAAATTCAGACTAACACATTAAAATTCTGTTACCATTGTAGAATCAATTAAAAATAAATATGTTAGGTAATGCAAAATCAAGGTATACATGCAATGCTATCGTGCTCATTAAACCACGTCTGGAGGTTACTGTACAGTCTACATCTGTGCTACCTAAAGGTTACACACGTCACGACTAGGGGTGTTACAATATCGTTTTTGTATCAAAAATGATCGTTTCAGTTTCAAACTTAAAAGCAGGATCAACAATTCTCCCAGTACCTCAGTTTTTGCAGGTGAGCAGTTGTTGCTCAGTAGTTTACTATTTAGTGACCCAATTTCAGTTATTGTTTTTTAAATGAATTATTTAAAGTTGACCTTAAATTCCAACAAAGAAATGGCGGTTGTATCAAAAAAAAATTACCACTTAATGTGATCATCTTAACAATTAAAACAGCTACATGGATCTTTTATTTTGTGTGGATTCTGGTGGCTCCTGTGGTAAAAAGTGGTAGTGTTACGTCTGCCACGTTTAATTGATTTCAAGGGGAATTCGACCTGGTGGCAGGCATTAAGAATAACTATATAGAAAAAGGCAATCTTCTCTCTGATGGTCTGTTTTTTCTTTTCTGTAAGTCATATAAAGGCATCAGTATTAAACTGAGACTGTTTCATAACCAGTTAAAACTCCTTGTAGTACGTTTAATTATTTAATTTTGATAATGAGTGGTTTGAACATCAGTGTTGTACAACACGGCACCCAAACATAATCAATACATGCAAAAATGTTCCCTGTCATGGTGGTTAATCCTAACCCTATCCTCACCCCCTCCCTGTCTCCCCCCACCTCAGGCACAGGGACTTTTGGCCGTGTCTTCCTCGTCAAGGACAAAAAGAGCAGGGCCTTCCACGCCCTGAAGCAGATGAAGATCCCCGATGTGATCCGACTGAAGCAGGAGCAGCACGTCCACAACGAGAAGGAGGTGCTGACAGAGGTCAACCACCCCTTCCTCATCCGACTGTGAGTCTGCTCCCCAGGGTGGGGGCTTGGGGCAGGGGGTCACGGTCCACTGGGTGAATGTTTTATAATGAAAAAGGTCCAGTGTCTGCACTAGGGGTACACTGTACTTGTGAGTTATTATCTGGAAATTGTTGTGCGGCAGCAATAAGGTGCAAATCCAGAATGTTCACAATAAACAAAATAAACAGGTTAATGGAAAGGATCATCCTTGGTGGGTTGCATATACATATGTATGTGCAATATCAAATCTAAAGTACAGGTAAGTGTATACATTTAATTTAGAGTGTTCATAATTATGTATGATATTGCACGTACAGTAATGTCCGATGATTGTACATTATGTCGTGTTGTAATCTCTACAAGAGAGTAATCCAGAGAGAAAGAGAGAGATTTAATCGGCATGAGGTAGATAGGTTTTCGGGTTTGATGGCCTCAGGAAGAGAGGATTTCCTGTGGCATTCTGTTGTGCATCATGGTGGTAACAGTCTGCTGCTGTTTGTCGTAGTCATAGTCCATGATGCTCCACAGTTTGTGAAGCATCCACGTAAGGATTTGAGCGACTTTGACAAGGGCCAAATTGGGATGGCTAGACCCGTTGATCCAAGGCTGCAGTCGACAGGAAATTGCACATCATTTTGATTTGTTGGTCAAAATGTTGATATTGATGTTAGACGAGTGACAGGTGACGTTGCCAGCATTAGGTTGCGCTACATAGATACATACTGTCAAATGAAAGTTAGCTATTTAGGTTGTTTCAACTCATACACTAACGCAGCATGCTTTGAATCTGGCTAGTATAACGTTAGCTTTCTGGCTTGTAGCTGAGCCAAAGGGTTCTATGAGTGGAGGAAACTAGAAATGTCTCCTGTTGCCAAGCTGTATCTCAGGTTTGTCCTATTTACTGGAGTAGTGAACAACGTTTCCACTCCACAACAACCTCAAAGAGATGGTAACAGTTAGGGACGTCACAATACCAGAAATATAGTAGGCGATACCACTAACCAGAAAGATCCACGATTCTCAATACCCAATTTGATGCCATGGTAAAAACCAAATCCAAAACAATAAACTCCATTTACTTCAACATATACTTCTTTGTTAAAAAACGACAACAGTGGCCCTTTTCTAATGATTGCTTTCTTAATTCACCACTTAACTCACTAACTAATCTGTGGATACTTAAAGAAGCATTTCACCCGTGGAAACATTAATCTTTATTGAAAGTGGGTTATATATGTAGTCGAAATGTAACATAAATTTTGAATTTGGTGCCTATTTGACCGAGAAAAGAGTGTTTGTAGTCTCAC